GCTGGAGTAGCTACCAAAAGGCCTCAGAGCTGTTAGACATACCTTGCACTGGCACTTCCTCAAGCCATGTCCTGTTTGGGGACTTGAATTTGAAGCTGGGATGCCATTCCTTCCCAGGCACTTTCCCCTCCAAACACTCACCTTGAGGACTTTGGCCAGTGTTGAATCAAGTTCATTGTAAATTAAGTTGTAGTTCTGACTTAAAGCCTTGGAAGGAGTAGTGTTTTAATGTCTCCTAATGTGTGAGCATACTAACTTAACCTTGAATCTTTTCTGCTGTGGTTGTGAGCATTGCTTCTACCATCAGAGGTAGCACTTGCTTCTGTTCACTTTTTTTCAGGATTTCAGATCTGCTGCATATCAGAAGCAGATGATAGTCTCTCAGAACATGTTGTCTTTGTTTAGATTAACAAAGACTTAACATGAAATTTTCCATCAAGGAGTGAAAAAGCAGAAACGCAATAGCTGTTAGATCTCTTTCAACCATTGTGTTTACTTTCAAGTGATAACTTTCAAAATATTTAAAAAGAAAAAAGGAGGAGTGGAAAGAAAGAAAAGCAGGAAAATATGAAGGGAAGATAGAGGCAAAGAAACAGCAAATGCCCAGGCTGGATTTCAGGTGGAGTCTGGCACATTCTGGTGCTCCCCCCACCCACTTTTTTTTAAAGCATTTGTATTTCACCTGCTGTGACATAAGAGACTAAAAATATTGTTCTGATATTATTTTTGTAATACTGGCAGCCAGAAATACATGAAGTGGATTTTCAAATGATGTGGAATCTGTGCAAACCGTCTCTGAAACCATACAGTGCCTTGGTCAGCAGAGACACAGCCTGTTAGTGAGGGTTTGACTCCTAGGCACTCTAAAAGTCAGGATGATGACCTTCCCTGTCATTCATTCTTGGGAGTAAAGAACCTGGCTTTTATGGTAGAGCAGACATGGACTGAACAACATAGGAGATTCTTCGTTCTTACAGGCAGAATTTTTGAAACTGGCAGACCATGGGCAGGATCTAGTTGTAAGAAATGCTTTATTTGGCTTTTATTGTATTTTGAAAGTGGAATTAGCTGCCACAGCTTAAAAACTAAGAGGTATACAAAAATCCAGATTTTTTATTTTTCTGAAAAAATATTTTGAAGAAATAACAAGATGAGGAAAACAAAAATGGGCTGAACCAAGGTAGTGTCTGCTCCCTTTGGACCAGGCAGGACCTCTCACTTCTTGTGTACCCTTGCAGGTGGATTCCTTGCCTGTTACCTGTCTGTACAGGTAGGCACTGACACTTGCAATTCATTCATTAAGGTTTACTGGGTAGTTAGTGCTTCATGTTATTACCACATGTCTCTAAGGGTACTTCTCTCTTTTTTTTTTTTAGTCTTAATTTCCTTCTTTATTTCATTAAGACAAGATAAATCTTTCACTTAAATTTTTTTAAATTTTTATTTAATAAATATAAATTTTCAAAGTACAGTTTTTGGATTACAATGGCTCCCCGCCCCCCATAACTTCCCTCCCACACGCAACCCTCCCATCTCCCGTTCCCTCTCCCATTCCATTCACATCAAGATTCATTTTCAGTTATCTTTATATACAGAGGATCAATTTAGTATATACTAAGTAAAGATTTCAACAGTTTGCACCCACACCGAAACACAAAGTGTAAAGTTCTGTTTGCGTACTAGTTATACCATTAATTCACATAGTACAGCACATTAAGGACAGAGATCCTACATGGGGAGTAAGTGACTCCTGTTGTTGATTTTAACAATTGACACTCTTGTTTATGGCATCAGTAATCACCCTAGGCTCTTGTCATGAGTTTCCAAGGCTATGGAAGATTTTTGAGTTCGCCAACTCTGATCTTATTTAGACAAGGTCATAGTCAAAGTGGAAGTTCTCTCCTCCCTTCAGAGAAAGGTACTGCCTTCTTTGATGGCCCATTCTTTCTGCTGGGATCTCACTCTCAGAGATCTTCATTTAGTTTTTTTTTGCCAGAGTGTCTTGGCTTTCCATGCCTAAAATACTCTCATGGGCTCTTCAGCCAGATCTAAATGCCTTAAGGCCTGATTCTGAGGCCAGAGAGCTGTTTAGACATCTGCCATTCTATGAGTCTGCTGTGTATCCCACTTCCCATGTTGGATCACTCTCTCCTTAATTCTAAGTTAGTATTAGCAGACACTAGTCTTGTTTATGTGATCCCTTTGACTCTTAGTCCTATCATTATGATCAACTGTGAACTGTAACTGATCACTTTGACTAGTTAGATGGCATTGGTACAAGCCACCTTGATGGGATTGAATTGGAATCCCTCTAAGGGTACTTCTACAAACAGTTACCAACTATTTGAATTTTGAGGATCTGGAATTCATAAGAATGGGAATTCTTAAGGGAAGAATGGGAATTCATAAGAATGGGAATAATTATTATATATTACCTTAAAGGGTTATGGGCAGACATTATTCCAACTCTCATTGCATCAATTCATATAGATTCATGGAGCTCTGACATTTATACTCAATCATATGTAAGAGTAGAACTAGGAATGAAGTGACTTTTTATTAATGATGTAACTTAGATAAATCCCAGGAAAACAAACTCACTCAAATGTCATTAAATCTTTGAAAAATGAAAATACAGAAATTTTAGAAAATTAGCTATTCCTCAAAGAATGCATGCTGCCAAAGGATGGATCTATGCTTTCTAAATAGAAAAAGAAATGGAGACAACTTTTGCTTATTAAGTATCTGAAAATATAACTTAATATTTAAATTATTCTTTCCTTTGGCTAAATTAAAAACAAACAAACAAAAGAGAACCAGTGTTTACCTGAGGTCCAAGCACTTCTACCCACAGCGGCCAAGTCTCCTCCAAGGGCCGACCATGGTGTCCTCACATGTTCTTTTAATCAGGACATCACTATAGTAATTCCTGCCCTATGGAAACTGTCTTAGATTACCTTATCTGAAGGCTCTTAACCATTTGGGTGGTTTGTTTTTAAGACTGTATACTTTAAAGTTTAATTAATACAGAGAGGGGGAAAATGTTAGCCTTTAAAGAATAAGATTAAAATAATTTGTTTACCTTGAACCTTATGAAGAAAAAGTGACATATAAACTAAATGAATTACATTGAATGGATTAAATTGTAAATACAGCCTTAAGGAAATTTGAAGTAAACTTTTGACTTATTTGGGAGTCCGTAGGAAAGTTAAGCAGAAATAGGTTTTTCAAAGAGTAGCAAAAATGCTGTATTTAAATACAATATAACCCCAGGATAGGGATGTTCATGTATTTTCCCTTGGAGAAGTTTTGAATATATATAACACTTCCTAGATGCATGGAGTAAAATGGTCAAATATCTACGTCCATTCAAATGTGTTATTTTAGTTCTTCATGTATTTTTTAAACCACATGTTACATGAAATACTTAGAAATATTTCTTTCTACCCTCACAACTTATAAATTGCTTTTATTCAAATTCTTCACAAATGATTTGGTACTACTGTTTCTGTCACCAAATCTGTTTTGCATTTTCCCCAAACACATGATTTTCTCCCTAAAGTTTTTGAGACTTAATATTTTTTTGGTACACATATGATTTTGTCAGTGTAAACTGTACTCTAGAACACAAGCACCGTTTGCATAATCAGGGGACATTTTAACATTTGTTCTCTAGGTGAATGCTTTTGATTTCCAGTATGTAACCACCCAAAATAACACTTTCAAAGTTATCTTTAATCGATTCTTGCATATTCATACCCGGGACTTGCAATTGGAAGATATGATTACTATGTATATGTGGAATTTTTGCTTTCATACGTAGATCTTGTTAAAGTATATCTGTAGTCCTTGTTAAAGTATAATTTGAAACTAGTAATGATGAAGTTATTTCAACCGAATGTGTCTTCTCCAAACCAAATTTTGTTTCAGATAATAAAATAATACTCAGATAAGGAAAAATCTTTAGTAAAGTCCAGTAAAAGTATATTCAGGGCTGGCGCCGCAGCTCAATAGGCTAATCCTCCACCTAGTGGCACCGGCACACTGGGTTCTAGTCCCGGTCGGGGTGCCGGATTCTGTCCCAGTTGCCCCTCTTCCAGGCCAGCTCTCTGCTGTGGCCCGGGAAGGCAGTTGAGGATGGTCCAAGTCCTTGGGCCCTGCACCCCATGGGAGACCAGGAGAAGCACCTGGCTCCTGCCTTCCGATCGGCGAGGTGCGCTGGCCACAGTGCACTGGCCGTGGTGGCCATTGGAGGGTGAACCAACGGCAAAAAGGAGGACCTTTCTCTCTGTCTCTCTCTCTCACTGTCCACTTCGCCTGTCAAAAAAAAAAAAAAAAGTATATTCAGTAGATAGCCTTGAGAGGAAGAAACCCTTGTTTAATGGCAAGTCAAGGTGATGATATTAATTTGTGAGTTCTTTTATTCTTAGCTTAGTATACTTTACCATTGTTAAAATTTCAAAATTTCTTAAAGAAACATTCCTGTAGAAAAAGATAGCTAGTGAGTAGATAAATGTATATGCTCTATGTTAGAGATTCTCTATGAACCTCTCTATAGGGGTTTGATGGTGGTTTTGTGGGACTTTTAATAGTAGATAGCAGTTCACTTGGAAGGAGATGTTGTCCTTGTCAACCCTGACTGATGCCATCAACCACAACTGCAGAGTATCATAAGAATGGTTGTGCCTTTCTAAGAGATGGTGCTTAGAGTTTGTGATGTTTAGTGACTTCCATATTGGCTAGTCAGTGAAAGGCTTACTTTTAAGAATTTAGCAAAATTGAAGAGGAAATTTTTTTACCTTAATTTCTTCTATGAAAAACTATTCTTGTAGCACTTTGCAGGAAACAATAACTCAAGTTTACTCTGGGGCTTCAAGCTTTGTATGAAAAAAGTTTATATCATTAATATGCCAAAAATATGATCATTCACGACTACCTATATTGGCAATAAATTATAACAATGAGAATAATGATGAATTATAATTTTTATCTCTTAACAGTGGAAAGAGTGGAACGAGAAAACCTTTCAGACTATTGTGTTCTGGGCCAGCGTCCAATGCATTTACCAAATATGAACCAGCTGGCATCCCTGGGGAAAACCAACGAACAGTCTCCTCATAGCCAAATCCATCACAGTACTCCAATCCGAAACCAAGTGCCCGCATTACAGCCCATCATGAGCCCTGGTCTTCTTTCTCCTCAGCTCAGCCCACAACTTGTCAGGCAACAAATCGCCATGGCCCACCTGATAAACCAACAGATTGCCGTTAGTCGGCTCCTGGCTCACCAGCATCCTCAAGCCATCAACCAGCAGTTCTTGAATCATCCGCCCATTCCCAGAGCAGTTAAGCCAGAGCCAACCAACTCTTCTGTGGAAGTCTCTCCAGATATCTACCAGCAAGTCAGAGATGAGCTCAAGAGGGCCAGTGTGTCCCAAGCTGTCTTTGCAAGAGTGGCATTCAACCGCACACAGGTACAGTTAACATTGAACATCATAGCTGGGGGTTAAGAATGATAATAGGGATAGCATTGTCATGTGTCTTCATTCTCTCTCTCAATGTCTTTAAAAAATCGTGTGGGTTTCAGAACACACAGAATTTGATTAATAATTGTTAGTCCATGGAATACTGTCACTATTAGTCCATTAATTAATTAATGTCAATGACTTGCTACCCAACTCAGGATCCAAAATGTTACCAATGACTTGAGTCTATATATGTGCCCTTCCTTCACCCTCTCTGTTTTTCCCTGGATATGACATGATCCTGATTTTTTTTATTATCATCCTCTTCTTTTAGAAAACTGGTTGTAAAACTATTTAGGCATACCTAACCACCTTATTTTACTGCATTTTTGAACTCTATAAAAGGAGGATAGCTATATACAATAATTTCTATATGCTCTTTAAAAGGTACAAGGTAGATTTAAGATATTGATAATGCAATAATGGGTGGTTTACTCATATTTTTAATGTTTTGGGAGAATTAAATACCCATGTAATATTATGGCATAGCTGGTAAAGCCATTGCCTGAGATGCTGGCATCCCATATGGGTTTCAGTTCGTGTCCTGGTTGCTCCACTTCCAATCTAGCTCCATGCTGATAGCTTAGGAAAAGCAGTGGAAGATGACCCAAGTGTTTGGGCCCCGGACATAAAGATGGGAGACCTGGAGGAAGCTATTGGCTCCTGGCTTTGGCCTGGCTCAGCCCCGGCTGTTGTAGCCATCTGGAGAGTGAATCAGCACATGGAAGATCTCTTTCTCTTTGCCTCTCCCTCTCTCCATGTAACTCTGACTTTCAAATAAATAAATAAATCTTTAAAAAGTCAATCATTTATTCAGGTACATCTAATTTTATTGAGGACTTCTTCTATGTAAGATTAGTTCTACCAGAGGCTTTTCTGTTTGTTTTATTTTTTTCCCCAGAAATCTTTCTACCAGAAGTTTTAATACTTGAGTGTGCACCAAAATCATCCCAGGGTTGTACAAACACAGTTTTTTTGACTCAGTGAATCTGGGGTGGATCCACACGTTTGCATTTCCAATAAGATCCAAGATGATGTTGATAGCATTGGTTTGGGGGCCACCCTTTGAGAATCACTAATATGGAAATGTAAAGCTATCTTCAGGGGACTAACAATCTAGTAGTAAAAGAATGTTACCAGAGTATTACAATAAAATGTGACATATGATGCATAGTGTAAAAGATTATAAGAAATGGTGTGGCTGTGGTTTGTGATGAGCTGGAGATGAGGAATGCCTTCAGGAGACTGAACCTGGTAAGTCTTCAAAAGGGCAGTAAGTTTAAGTTTAGCCACCCTAGTAAATGCTGAGTGGGGTGCTTAAGTTCTGTGCAGATGCAAAGATGAAAAAGATCATGGCTGAGCCAATATGTAAGTCCCCAACTAGACTATTAGTTTTCCAGAGAGTTAGATCTTGAAGTTAGATACAATTTAACAGGCAAAGATGGAGAAGAGGGGTATCTTAGGCAAGGGGAATTCATAAATAATACATTGAGTCAAAAATGTGGGAATAGTTATAATAAAGTTGGATACTACAACTTAAAGATGGAAGGGGGAGCACAGATCAATAAAGGTCTTGAGAGCCTTGCTAAGAACTTTGAACCCTAATAGGCACTGGAAACTGTTGAAACTTTTGTAGGGATGGGCTATGAGCCAATAATCAGAATTAGACCTTGGGAAAAAAATTTCTTTTGACTCTCATGGTAGCAAAAGGCTATGTATATCATTTAGGAGGCTGTGTTAAAAATCCAGCTGAACTGTGGAAGTTTTGAACTAGACTGATGGCAATGGAGCATAAAATTAAGCATTGTGGAATTAAACTTGGCAGTAGGTGAGTGGGTAAAGAGGGATGATGTAACGATAATGCCAAGGTTTGAGTCTAGTGACTGAGAATAAAGGTGTAATTATTAATAGAATCAGGGAAGACAGCATGGTGGCAGTCAGGTGAAAGTGATTATCTCAGATTGGGTCATTCTTACATTGAAATGCTGACAGACTTCGTAAGTGAAGATGTGTGAAGGTCCCTGAAAAAATAAGAGCTTGGTACTAAGAAGGGTTGTCAGGGTTAGAATAAGACTTTAGAAATTGTTCCTGGAGTTTAGATTTTAAGTCAGTGGATGGAAAGGGGAGAAAACATCTCCACCCCAACCCCACCGTTACCAGCACTGGGATAGAGACTGGAGAAAGGCCAGGAGAGATGGGGCAGGTGGAGATGGAATGAGAGGTAGCTACTGAGGACATTACTACAGAGTGAGCATACGGAGGACCTGACGAGAGACTTTCCAGTACTTACTTGTTCATGTGTGGAATGCTAAGAAGTCTAGGAGAGGGAGTCTCCTATGTCATGAGAACATGGGAGAACCCAGCTCATGAAATTTGGCAATTGATTGGGAGGTCTTTGGGCAAATTTTTGAGTAAGTTTTTGTGCAAGTGGTAGGAACTGTGGTTAACTGTTGCAGATACAGAAGCAGGCTACTTTTTACACAATTTGATATTGAGAGAGAGGCTAGAGGTGGTGGACAGCTTGAATGCAACCAGGAGTCCCTTTGAGATAAGAGGATTCTCTGTGTAGTTTGAGGCTTCATTTGCATTTAAACAGCATGAGGTAACAGTGGAACCAATGGTTGTGGTTTGGTAACAGTCTTCAGCAATGCTGGGACTGCAGGATTGGGAGCAGGGAAGAAACCCAGTGGGATTGTTTGAGGTTTGGTGCTGACATATTAGGTATGGCAGGAGACCAAGAGGAGTGAAATCTCTTGCTCCCTTGACTCCTAGCTGATGTGTGCAATCTGTTATTGACAGAGTCTGTTTACATCACTCGAAATGAGTGCAGAGATTCAGAGACCTGCACATATTACACATATCATCTCCCACTTTTCTCTTGTCACTCAACGTACTCAGGCAGCATTTGTATGTCTATAGTTGTCTAGGCTGGGGTTCTGAAAAGCTCTGTTCCTTTTGAGCAAGTCTGTTGCATAGTACTGTAAAATGTAAACTCAAAAGATGCATTCTTTGACTGCATTTTGCAGCTTTGTGTGTGTGTGTGTGTGTTCTTTCATCTGTCATTCATGTGCATGAATAGGCATTTCATGAGTAGCCAACATTTTATTGCCTGGTTGTATATACAGCTCCTTTGGCTAAGGATAAAATTGAAAGCATGGTTGTGTTACTTTAGATTTTAGAAACAAACACAGTGTACATTTTATCCAAATAGCATGAGGCATGAGAGAAGACTGACAATGAGGCAAGACACAAGACTGATCATATTGTGAGAGGGTATGCTCTGCCAAGGCCCTGGACTCCTGGAGGGCTGACTTCTCCTGCACAATCTTTGTTGTCTCTTTTTGTGGATTAATGATTTTTCTTTGGCATTGCCATTTTTGAAGTGCCAAGTTGTAAAAAGTCTAATTGAAGCATGGAACACATTTTATTATTTTCCTCCTGCCATTAAATTTGTAAGATGGCTACACCCAGTAAGAAACATTCACTTTCAATCAACATGCACTTGAGTTCATGGGCCAGCCTTGAGGATATCAAATGGAAACTGCATAGGAATGTATGAGTATTTCCTTTTAAAATTCTGCTTTTAATTTGGGAAAGCTTTTCATCCCTCTGGGATCATAACCTGTTGTGTATAAAGCCCAACCTAATCAAGGTAGATGGTATTGACAGAATGACATAGTTTGAACTTAAGCAGAAGGTCAGCAGGCAGATTGTTTTTGCTGTATGTACTGTAGTCACTAACAGCAAGACTGGCAGCTGGTTTTACCAGCAGCATTGCTAAGTGGAAAATATGGTGTACTATGCCCCATGAAACCAACCATGGATTTTCCAAATGTTCAGGTTTTTTTGAGTAGAATCAGATATTTATAGGTGATATAATAATTTGCAAGCTATTATGAATAGATAAAAATTAACAATATAGATAATTATATAGAAGAATGATTAATTTTTGAATAGAAAATAAGTTTAATTTAAATAATAAATAATGAAATAAGTTGCCTTACTGTGTACATATGTAGGATATCCTCAGTCCATTGAATGTTTTCCAGAAATAGATCATTATCTCTATTACTCATTTATCATCAAGTTTAATTAAAAGCAATTAGATCTAATTAAAAGAAATTAGATATAGTTTGTCATTTTATCATCCTATAGTTTGTGCTCCTAGATTTATTCCAACAAAGCTGGTTTGTGTGTGTGTGTGTGTGTGTGTGTGCGTGTGTGTATAAAACAAAAACCAAAACAAAACCCAACTGTATCTACCTAGTTTTTCACATTTAAGATTTCCAGATACAAAACTCAAATTCACAATAAGAAGCATTTAAAAATTCCAGTACTCCAAAAAAAAATCTATTAATTACCTTGTATGACTGATCTATTATGGTTGTATCATTTGAGATAATAAAGAATAGAGCTATATTTCTAAGAGCTTGTTTTCATTATGTTTTGATTTCTTAAAAAATATGAAATGCATCGGTGAAGTGATGCCCTTCCTCATCATTCATGACAAGGCATGGCTTTGGTTGGAGTTAAAGATAGATGACCTTTTGCCAATTTTAGGTTATTTTTTATACTACATTTCCCTTTAAATATCTCTTTTGATTTGCTAACAAGCATATACTGTCTAAACCTGAGCCATATGCTTTAGGAAAGGGATTCAGCAGCACCTCTGAGGTCTTTGTAATACTAGGCTACGGATCTGCAGTATGGGTGTGAGACTAGTGCAGTTTGAGGCACAGGATGTATATGTTTCACATGCTATCTGTGCCACCATGAGGATCACTGTGCCTTTTTATATCTTATTGTATTTATATTCCTAGTACCATCATTCTCTTTTTTTTTCTTAAAGATTTATTATTTATATGGGAGAGAGAGTGACAGAGAGAGCAGGAGACAGAGAGAGAATCCTCCATCTGCTGGTTCACTCTTCAGCTCAGATAGCCCCAGTG